GGAGGTACTCCATGGTCTGTCAAATTCAACCTCCACCTTCTAGAACACTTGATTATTTATGCTGCAATGAGACATCAAGACAGGGAAGAGCTATAACAGTGCTGTGCTCTCAACTTTCCCCCTAGACACTGTCAGACAGCCATGCTGCCTCTGGGTGAGATGCTTGGCATCCCAAGTCCACAGGGCTGAGCTAGACTGCATGTCTAGTGTTTCCCTCTACAGGGGCCCCTCCTTCAGCAGGGGTCTGTGTTCTGACCTTATCAAGGACCCTGTCTGGGTCAGAGGTAAGAGGCTCAGTGGGGAATGGGGAGCCATCCATAGTGAAGACCTCCTAGCTGAAGTCCTCCACAAGCCCATGGCTCATCCTGGCTCATCATGGGAAGAATGGATTGCCTCTCCCTTTGCATGAGGAGAAGAAAGAGTTCAAGAGGTGCTCCCAAAACATGGGCTTCTGAGTAAGTGGACCTGCAGTTCTGCTCAGGATGCACAGCCAAGGTCTTTGTTCCTACTGGGGTACAACACTGACCTTAGCCTCCTGCAGAAACAGATCTAGGGACCATGACACTGCTCACATTAAAGGAGGGTGACAAAAAGCTTAGGAGGAGTACATGGCACCGGGGTCGTGGTACAAAGAAACTAGGTGAGAGCCAGTATGTGAAGCCGGCCTCCTGTCCTGGAAGGCTCCATCCTAAGACTGGCCCTGGTTGCAACAGACCCGCGGGGCCTCCATGTGTCCCACCAGATGCAAAGGCATGAGCTCCCAGCATTGAGAACAGCCCAAGGCCAGACCTAGCTGCTCAGGGCTCCCTGGCAGGCTGTGGGGTGGAGAGGTGAGCTTCTGTCCTAGGAATTTCTATGGGTGTTTGGAGATTCTCTTTATCTCAAAGCCTGACAGTCCATGTCAGGGTTACTGTGCTAAACCAGGAGGAGGTATTTGCAGCAGGAGAGCTTTGGCTGGGTCTGTGGAGACAGACAGGCAGACAAGGAGGAGGGTGCCTGCTTGGGTTCGTCTGGTTGCTGCTGGTTCCTCACTTTGTCTCACCACAGCTTTGTTTTGTCTGACTCCCTCACAGCATGGAATTCCTGGGGGCTGTTTTGAGTCCAGATGGCTGTGGTTCCTTTTGCTGGGACATTCCCTCCCCGCTCTGTGGGGTTGCAAGGAGCAGTACCTGGCAAGATTCCTAGGAGGCCAGTGAGACGGGACAATGGCTGTCTGTGGCTTCTGAAGGCAACTAATGAAGGGGCAGAGAAAATCTCTACTAAGCCCTCGTGATAAGGTGCAGTCAGGTCTGAGCCAGAGTCCTGCTCAGCATAAACTCATGAGTCAGCCAGATTGCTGAGGCTGTGAAGATGTCTCTCAACTCTCCACCACTCTGGCTCTGGCCCCTTTGTCACCCTCTAAGAACAGGACAGCGCACGGCACACCAGAATTTGTCACGATAAAGTGACCACAATTCCTTGGGGGCCCAGAACTATATGCTGCTTACAGAGAGCTGCAGTCCCTGCTGACGGTCGGCTGCTGCTTTGTGAAGCTCCTGAAAAGGGAGAGGTGTACCGAGAGCCCCTGGGGGTCCACTGATGCCCAGTGCCAGACACTTCATTTAGGCTGCTGTCGGGATGGGGAGGAGAAAGGGGTGCAGGTCCCTGCTCTCCACTTAGCACTGGGTTCCTACCTGGATAAGCTTTATACTTAGAGCCATTTTCCAGCCCAAAGACTGAAACTATAATGGAACAAACAAGTTGAGAAAGGTTGAGAAAATTCCTCTAAACCAGAAGAGATTGTCTGATGATCAGACATTTCTGGACACTGGAGGGTGGACATAGCCAGGGCCAGGTGCACTGGGCAGGTCCAGCATCTGCCTTTAAGGAACTCGCTGATAATCAGATGACCAACAGGAGGCACAGGTAGGTCCACATCTCCCGGAGTGGCCAGTAGCATCTGTGGACAGGACGGGTCAATGGGGCTTTGCTGGGAATCACTGAAGGAGAGTGGCTGGCACAGAGGCCCAGGAGCTGGAGAGCAGTAGGACAAGCGAGCCCAGGGAGGGGAACATGGATGTGTGCCGTGGACATGAGGGCGGAGGCTGTGGCTGCTCGGCTCCTGCTTCCGAGTCCAGCTCAGTTTTGCTGCTTACTTCCTGGTGGTCTGGGAGCCACATGGCTGTCCTGTGCCGTTAGCTCCTCCTCCTGGGGCAAGGACAGTCCTTTACGTGAGGACTGAAAGTCCAGTGAGGTTTGTACATGAACTGTCATCTCTGTGCACCACACTCAGCAAACACTAAATACATGCTGAGCCTAATGTAGCCCTGGATAGTTTGATGTTATAGTGGCAGCAGGGCACAGGTGAAGGCTCTGGTCAGTGCCAGCTCAACCTACGTGATACCCCTTCTCTCTCCCTCTAAGGAAGACCAAGAGTGGTCAGGTGATGGCCTAGGAGAGGGGAGGCTACTCAGATGATGAGTTTCCCATAGCCCTGACCTTGAGTAGCTCTGGCCCACCTTCCTTGCCCAGAGTCTTCCCAGAGAGCAGAGCACATGTAGCAGCCACTCCATCAGGTCTCCACCTGCTCATGATTTTCTCCCCATTTGCTGTGCCAGGCGATAAGCCGCCCCATGCTTCCCTCCTAAAGAGAAGTCAACGTCTCCATCCTCGGCCTGGTTCTGTCTTGCTGGAACTTAGGGGCTTTGCTTAACATCAGTTTGTGACTGCATATTCTCTTCTGATGGAGTGTAAGACACATGCAGGTGGGATCACATCTTAGCCCTGTTTGCTTCATCACAAAACCAGGGCAGTGTCTGAGGAAGGATGATAATAAAATGGGTTCCTGTTATCCAGGAAGAATAAGAACAGGTTTCTGGAAGTCTGCTGTATGGGCAGAGTTTGGAGAGCTGCCTTAGAGGCTCCACAAACCAATTAGGCTGTGGTGCCTGGGGAATTGGGGCTTGGGAATATGCTGCCCTCAGTCCCCCAGCATCTCACAGAATCTTATGAATTCCTCTTTTTTTTGGACTATGACTTCAAGAAAAGCTACAAGGATTGTCTTTCTGGTCTTGACAGTAAAATGCCATGTGGAATCTCGTCATGCGGCTACCTGGCCCATGTGCTCAGAGGCACTAGCAGGGGCCATGTGGAAGCCATGCAGCCTTGCAGGTGAGTGGGCTGCCTGTCATAGGGAGGGGCCTTCCCACAGTGGGTAAGTTGGTGAGTTCCTGTGGGACAGAGATCTGCTTCAGTCACGGGAGCTGCATTGGCTTCCTGAAGGCTGGGGCTGGCTAACTCTGATCCAAGAGAGTACTGTGGTCATTGTTTGATGAGACAGCTTGGCTAGACTATGTGATGGACAAATAAATACCAGATAGGATGCTCTGTGAAAGTGCTTTCTAGATGTGATTAACATGTGCCTTAGTTACTTTTCTGTTGCTGTTATAAAACACTGTGATCAAGTGAACTTATATGAAGAAGAGTTTATTTGAGCTTACAGTTCCAGGTTCCAGAGGGATTAGGGTCTGTCATGGCGGGAAGGCAGGTGAGGTGGTCGGAGCAGGAGCAGAAAGCTCAGTGCTCACGTCTCCAAGCAGGCACAGGAAGCAGAGAGTAACTGGAAATCTAGCAAGGCTTAAGGGTTCTCTAAGCCTACCCTCAGTGTCCCAAAACAGTGCCACCAACTGGGAATAAAATGTCCAAATACTTGGAGCCTACGGGGGGCATTCTCATTCAAACCACCACAACATATAAATTATTAGATTTTAAGGGAAAGAGATTAGGCTCCAATATGAGTGGGCCTCATCAGATCAGCTGAAGACTTTAACAGAAAAGATTGGGGTTCCCTCAGAAGAGGTTTGACCAGCTGGGGATGTAGCGTAGTTGGTAGAATCCTTGCCATGATGCATAAAGCTCTGGTTCCATCCTCAGCACAGCAGAGCCTGGGCATGGTGAGTGACACACTTTTAGAATGCTAGCAATGGAGAATGGAGGCAGAAGGAGTCAAAAGTTCATTCTTATCCTTGGCTATATGGTGAGTTAGAGGCCACTCGGGGCTATATGAGACCCTGTCTCTAAATATTGGGGGGTGGGGAGAGGAGGAAGAAGGGGAGGAAGAAGAGGAGGAGGAAGAGGTAGAGGAGGAAGAGGAGGAGGGGGAGGAGGAGGGGGAAGAGGGGGAGGAGGCAGCACCGGAGGTACAGCAGGCCTATCCATTATTTTGAGAGGGGCTGGCTCAGCAGTTAAGAACACTGGTTGCTCTTGCAGAGAACCTGGGTTCAGTTCCCAGCACCCACATAGCCGATAAGGGGAGGAGGAAGAGGTAAAGGAGGAGGAGAAGGAGGAGGAGGAGGGGGAGGGGGAGGAGGAAGAGGAGGAGGAGGAAGCAGTAGAGGAGGAGGAGGAGTAGGGGAGGAGGAAGAGGGGGAGGAAGAAGAGGAGGGAGGAGGAGGAGGCACCTTGGTCTCACATGAGCAGAATGGAACCCTACTTAAGGGTCTAGCCTTTTGTCCCATAAGATTCAGACCCAAAGTAGTGACATCAGCTGTCCTGTTTGCAGACTGCAGGCTTTGTCTACAGAGTGCAGGGTGGCCAGGCTCTATACTCAGTGACCAGTCCCTTGACATGACCTCCTCTTCTCTACACCTCTGTGGGCTGTTCCTCAGGAGAGCTCTGAATGGAGCCAGCAGGGATCATAGGACACAGGTACCTACAATGTACAGAACCACCATCACCAGTCCTATTCCATCTCTCCTACAGCTCCCTCCTCCTCTCCTGGATGACAGGGCAGAGGGCTTTCTCATATCCCAGATGCAGCCTTCCATGACATTCTAGAACCCTCACTGAGACTCATTTCCAAGAATCTTTTTCTAGCCCTCTACCTCAGATGCAAACCTCACCTCATAAAAAAAAAAATTATGATACAGTTCCAAAGCACACAATACAATATAAAATTTATTATAAAATTTCAGCAAATATAAATATCCAGGTGCCCATTCAGAAGGCCCTGGGAGGGGAGAAGCACCCATATGTCAGGGAGAGGTCTGGGGTGGGTTGGAGGCCTGCCAGGAAATCTCTCCTTTGAAGGTCATTGACCTTTGCTCTGAGCTCAAAAGCAACCAACTTATGGAATGTGATCCAAAACAAGACAACACAGAAAGCACAGCCTGGGCTTAGCACTAGAGCACACCAGCTGCTTGGCTGACAGTGGTTACCAGGGATTCCGGCTCTCCTGGGGCAGCTGGATTTCAGTGTAGCCAAGACTCTGATCCGCCACTTCAAACACAGCAAGACTAAGAAACGGATTGAAATAGGAACTCACTGTAAATAACTGGGAAAGGAGAACGTAAGTATAACAGGCTCTTCTCTGGCAGCAAGCACCTTAGCGGGAATTTCCTTTTCCATTTACATATATGCAGAGACCTAAGTCAGAATGTGGCGTCCCCAGCAGGTACCTGCTCCTGGGGCCACCGGAGCAGGAGGGGATCTGAGGGAGAGTCCAGGCGTTCTTCTGCACGACCCCTTCATGCCACAGACATTTCCTGGTAGCAGAGGTGTCTCTGAGATGGGAAGGAGGCTGGTGTGCTGGACGGAGAACATTCTGCACATTTTCCTGATCTCGTGGCCTTTTCGTCTTTTCTATGAAGCACCAGACACCTAGCGTTTAGTAAGTTCACAGACCCTCCTGTGGAAGTGTAGGAAGTTAGCCCCCAGACTCCATTTTTCTACCCAACTGGAGAACATGCACTTGGGGTACTTGTGTGGATGCAAATGTGCATCCACCTCACCCAGAAACACATGCACACAGTCCAGGTCAAAGAGCCTCACACAGTCCTCCTTGTTCCCAACTGCCTTGGCTGCATTCCGACGTGCACTGCACAGCCCCCTTGTGCTGGGCTTTCTCAATCACAGGGGCATCTTCTGTGGAAACTGGTCCTGACTCACAGGTTGGACTTGGAGCAAGTCCTGCAGCACTGCTTGCCATAGAACTTGTGGTTGCACATCCCGTGCTGAGGTACCAGGTAACACCAGTGGAAGACGTCTTTGCAGAAGGTGTCTGGAAACAAGCAAACTGCATGTTAGCCAGATGCTGACTGGATGCTAGCTGGATGCTCCTGAGGGCTCACTGGATACCACTAGCCAGCATCTCTGCCTGCTAACGAAAAGTGAACTTGTCATTGCTTTGAAGCTGCTGAAAGAGGACCACTTTCCAGGCCTGCCGTGGTGTGGTGGTGGGACTATGAGGTGACCCTTACAGGATGATGTGTTTCAACACTTGGTCCCTAGCTGGTGGAAGTGTTGTGGACCTTTAGGAGGTGGGGCCTCACCAGAAACAGGGGGCCATAAGGAGTGGGCCTTGAGGTTTTATAACCTGGCTATGCCAGGATGCAAAGGGACCAACTGTCTCCCACTCCTGCAACCATGCCTTACCCACCATAACAGACTGCCCCCTTAATCTAGAAGCCCAAAATACCTCTCCTCCCTGAAGTTGCCTTTGGTGGGGCATTTGGCCTAGAAGGGTCCCACAAGATACGTTCTTTTAGAAGACTCTTCTTACAAGGTTCCTGCAAAACTCAGAACTTCTTGTGCTAAGTAAACTGATCAAACTCCTTGTCTACACTAAATGTCAATTTTTGTCCATTACCTAGTGCTCAGGGTAAGCTCAGCCACCGGCTGTCTCCCAGCTGCATTCCATCTCAGAGGAGCCTGGGAAGGCAGGTCAGCAGTCTCCCCATGTTTGTGGGCACCAATGGATGGCTTTTAGAAACTACCAATGAATACAGGATGCTTTGTGTAATACAGGGGAAAGGTTACTTAGTAAAACTGTATTTTTAAATAACACAAATAGCATATAACAAAAATATATACAGATTGTAAACAGGTCTGCTCCTTCTGGGGTAGAATGGGGGCGGGGATCTGCTCTGCGACTATTTGACTGTCAAAATTGGAGGAGGTAAAAAGTATGTTACAGACACAGGGGCCCAGCCAGGACTCTCCAGTCAGCCCTACTTCCTGAAACCTTCTAAGGAATTGTGACAGAACTATGAACTCACCACCCTAAAGGTCCAGGTCCAGCTAGGGGCTCTAGGTCCAGCCAAGGGCTCCACTCACCTCTCTTCTCTGAAACGGGGCAGAAATGAGTGTTGCAAGCAGAGGAGGCCTCGGGTTTCTGGTGCAGGAAGCAGTCGGAGGATGGCTGACCCCCCAGCAGGCACTGCACGGTTCTCCTCTGCACACCACCCCCACAGCTGGCTGTGCACTGCAAAGCAACCCACAATGGTCACCAGGCTGTCAGGCTTTCAGCACAGGGTCAGGTCATCAATGTTCCCACTTGTCAGAGGCCAGAGCTGTACACCAGAGTAACGTTGATGAGGACGAAGATCCCTCAAGAGGCAGGTGAAGCAACTGTCAGCCATGATACAGACAGAGCGTGTGTGGTGCTGTATGGCCAAGCCCCCTGCAGAGCACCAGGAATCAGCCTATGACATGGCTGTTGTCACCTTTCTTGAACCTCAAGGGGAGACAGCCTTGGAGTGATGGGATGAGCTGAGGTGGGGAACTGATGCTGCAGCTTTAACTGAGGGCTCCTAGGATCTGCACATTGGGACACAGCATACTTGTTGAAGGCATCAGTGTACTCAACAAAAACACAGGTATCTGTGGGTTGGCCTAGGATTTCCTCAAGTTACAAGCAGTGGAAAAGAAAAAGATGTAGCTTCCATCGCCAGTAAATTACCACAGTTACCCTTCTGGCTGAAAAACAAGGAAAGCCTTCCCCACCCACATAATTTTGGTTCCCATTAAAGGTGTTTAAGAGCATAAGATGGCTGATTGATACCCAGGACCATGTGGTACTTTTCAACCCTGCAGGGCTCTGTCCTAGCTCTTGTGATCTTGGATCAGATCTTGTTCATGTAGGTGATGGTAAAGCCCTGTTCCCTTCCCTTACCCTCCCAAATATCCCTTCTGCCCAGACTCAAGGTGGCCATAACTGAAATTAACTGATGATATAACTCTTTCTAGAATGTTCTTAGGGGACTCATGGAGGCCTGATAAATACAGGTAACTGTTTCATGTGTGAGGGTACCAGGTCGCTTTCCCAGCTTAGCATGAAGGGAGAGTGTCCTTAGGAAATGTGCCTAGAATGCCTTCCTCAGTGAGGAAGCCTGAGTAGCCAGAGGCATGATGAAGCCAGACTGTTCTGGACCCCAGGGTCCAATGCCTGGGCAGCTCACAAGCTAGGAGCCCTTTCTTTGGCTTGGGTCATTTTTGTCCTAGTACCCCAAGTAGCAGTTGCATGGACAGGGGAACAGGGAATGAGCTAGACAGATCTCCTTCTTCTAACTGGCCAGGTACACACACCACAGGGACTGAGCAGGATCCATCTGATCCCAACTGTGGGCAGTGATGTCAGGATGGGAACTAGACAAAGGAACTCCGCCGGACTCATGGACGTTCACCCACCTAAGGGTGAAGGCTACACCGAATCCCGTAACTTGTGCTTGAGCAAGGCTCCTGGTGGTTCGAGTACGCTAAGAACATGAGCAGGTCAGAATACCCTCAAGAAGGTGAGGCCAGCTCTTGGCTGGAACACCCTGGTGTGTGGCAGATGTGACGCAGTGGTGTAACTTGGGTAAAGTACACCCAGGCCCTGGAGCCCGAGTCTGGAACATTTCTGAGTCTTACTCCTTTACTTCAAGACCAGTGAAAGGCACCAGTGGTTCAATTTCAATAGATCATTCTAGCAACTCGAGCAACACTGATTTCGGAACTACTAGGGTCAGGCGGGTCAGCAGAGGTTTCCCACTGTGTAGGGCATTTTCTAACATGCTGTAGATGCTCCATTCCCCTTTCTTCTTTGCTCTGAGCCTGTCACGCCTCTACTAAGCTCATGGGCCCACTGAGCACTTTTGGGGAGTGGGCAAGCAGGCCAGAGCCAGCAGTGCACAGGTCCTCACGGGGACATCCATCTCACTGATATTCACGTGCCTCTGGTCCTTCTGGCTGAACTCCTTTCTAATTAGTGGAGGAATCCTGCTCCTGCTGAGGCCGCTATACCCCAACAGCCATCAAGAGATCTCCCGTTTTTCACCACTTAGTGACTCTGCGTTCTGTCCAGTCTTACGCCATTGAAGAACAGCATCACCTACAAGGTTCACACTGGAGAACTCTGCAACTGAACTACAAACAAGCAAACCAAAAGTTTGTAAAAAAAAAAAAATCCCATAATTTAAAGCCCAAGTTTATGATTTTGTATTGGGCATCATTCTTAACTGACCTCAGCTGGCTGAGGTCTGTGGGTTAGACACCCTGATGGTTTCAAAACCATGTTTAGTTTGATGCCTTTTACTACAAATTTCCTTAATTAACAGGTATTAGTCACTCATCCCTCCTCACCAGGTATTGTTCTAGGCACTGGATTTGCAGAACACAGGCATCTCAGCCCCTGGCTTCAGAGTACTTAGGAAACTCCTACCCAAGTGTGAGCCTCAGCCCAAGAGCACTGGAAGAATCTGGGAGCTCAGCTCCACAGAATGCTGACTCTGGTACCTCTGCCTTTCTGCATCCCCACCTCTCTGCTTCCCCACCTCCCTGCATCCCTGCCCTCCCCACCTCACATCCCTACCTTCCTGCATCCCTGCCTCCCTGCCTGCATCCCCACCTCCCTGCATCCCTGCCCTCCCCACCTCACATCCCTACCTTCCTGCATCGCTGCCTCCCTGCCTGCATCCCCACCTCCCTGCATCCCTGCCCTCCCCACCTCACATCCCTACCTTCCTGCATCCCCACCTCCCTGCATCCCTGCTCTCCCCACCTCACATCCCTACCTCCCTGCCTGCATCCCCACCTCCCTGCTTCCCCATTTCAGAATCTATCCCTGATGATTCAGATGCACAGCAAGTTTGAGAATCTCTGGTCTAGAGTTTGAGAATTCTTCATGAATAAACAAACAGCAGCTCAACTTCTCAACATTTGCCTTTCTCCATATTAACTGAACAACAAGGATATTCAGCTCCAAACTTTGGGAGTATTTCAAATTGATGAAGATGGCGATACACAAGGAGAGGAAAGGAAGGGTGCTCTATTTGTTTTTCTATCCAGGAAGGGAAAATATGCAAATTATTTATTAATTATGCAAACATGGTTGCTTCGCACTTTTAGCTCTGTGTTTGGGATTCTTGTCGCCAGACCCCACCGAACAGCCAGTTCCCAGTCACAGCAGCTCAGCAAGTCAGTGTGGATGTTATCTAAGGTTTGCCTTTCTCACTACAGGCCAGCACCTACATACCCTTGATGGATACCAGGAGACACTCTGCACCTTGCTGAGGGATGATGACGTAGTTTGGTTTGGTCCACCCTTGGTGGTAAAGTACGGTGTGTGGAACAAAGGCCTCTCAGACCTCCGTAGAGCGACCCTCAGGCTGCCTACCCGACAGTGCTGGAGAACGTTTGTAATCTCTTCCTTTTCCTTCACCTACTGCTGGACTGAACATCTTCGGACTCCTCCAAATAGGCCTAAAACCACTACCAGGTGAGTCCAAGAGCTCTTGTCAAGACTTGGCCTAATTCTGGAGGTTAGATGTGAGGAGGATTCACCACAGTATCCCAAAGGATGATCCTCCCTGGGATCCAGTAGGTGGGGTCCTCTTGTGGTTCCTGGATGGGCTTATCTTCCTCAGTCTGAGCACACTTCCCTCCTGAGTGGGGAGACCACCATACTGGATCCATGATCTCTGGGAGACTTCAGGTAGCACTGTTTCTAGCCCCATCCAGCAGGCTAACTCAAGACATCCACTGAGTACTTTTTCCAAACATGGAAGTTCTTAGAAACTTCTCTTCTGCTTCTCAGACTTCAGCATACTCCTGGATCAGAAATGAGCCCCAAGTTTTAGAGATACCAACAGCTCACACACAGAAGATTCAGACACTGGGTGAATGGGAAAGGGGCTTGCTCTCCATCAGTGGTGAATCCAAATTGGTACATTTCAAAGAACAATGCCTGCTCTCAGGGACTTTCAAATTCACTTAGAGCAAGTCTGCCTTTCTGCAGTATTGGTCTTTCTGGAACGTGGAGGTCACTTGTCTCTCATAGGCACAGATATTTCAGTTGCTTAGTTCCAACATACCCATAGGTCCCTCGGAGATGATGGACTTTCAGTGCGAAGCTAATTCCTCAAACACAGAGGGCACATCCCATGTTCCTGTTAATTTTTGTCTACTTGACACAGACTGGAAGCGTCCGTGAAGAGGGACCTTCAGTTGTGGAATTTCCTTCATTAGATTGGCCTTGTCCCGCCTATGGGGCATTTTCTTCATTGCTCATTGATGTAGGAGGACCCAGTCTACTGTGGACAGTGCCATGCCTAGGCAGGTGGGCCTGGGCTATGTAAGAAAGGTAACTGAACAAGCCAGAGGGAGCAGGACGGCAAGCAGCATTCCTCTGTGGTTTCTGTGTCCGCTCCTGCTCGAGTTCCTGTCCTGACTCCCCTCGATGATGGACTATGATCAGGAGGTGTAAGCCAAATAAACCCTTTCCTCCCCAAACTGGTTTTGGTCAGTGTTTTGTCACAGCAACAGAAAAGTAACTAGGGCAAACCAGTTCCTGGGGAACCAGGGGAACCTTTCATTTCCCTTCTGTGGGGCCTCCACTGAGAGGCACCATTGCATTATTCCTTTAACATCTCCTTGTGGACTGGGGTGCTCTCCCCAAATCCGGACCTTCTGCCTGTTGTCAATTTCCTGGCTGCCCTGGAGATGGCCTGTCTTCTCAGTTCAGAATGTGACTGCACAAACCCCAATGGCCTCACCACGGCAGCTTCTGCTGCGATTATGAATGGGGGAGTATTTCTGGGCAAATCCAATTGGCTATAAACATGAACTCCACCTTTAGGAGGTGTGGACAGTGGCTTAGCCACCAACTGTACTGAGCTGGTTCTTAAGGTTTATTTTTTTAGCTGATGCACTATTGGCAACTGATCACTGCTGGGTGAGGCAGAGCTGGTCTTCTTTAAGAAGTGACACTAGACAGGCTGACCAGGCTCCAGTGAGTGGATAAACTCTCACTGAGGGACACCTGGGGACACAAACTTGACTTGATAAGGCTTAACATATATGAAAGAATGCGTGAAATCTGGTGGGTGGGCTATTGGGGGGTGCAGATGGGGGAGACGGTCTGACTATGATTAAGGTGTAGTGTATGAAATGCACTTAAACTCAATTTAAAAAGGGAATAAAGAAAATCTCATTCTAAAAACTTTATTTACTTATTTATATGTATGGTATGAGTGTTTGGCCTACATGTATGTAAGTGCACCTGTGTTGCAGAATGCCCACAGAGGCCAAAAGAAGGCACTGGATCCCCTGGAACTGGAGTTCTGGATGGGTGTTAGCTGCCTCGTGGGTGCTGGGAAGTGCACCCAGGTCCTCTACAAAAGCTGCCAGTGCTCTTAACTGTTGAGCTATCTCTCCAGCCCAGCTGAGCTGATTCTTGTTTTCCAGTGCTCTTAACTGTTGAGCTATCTCTCCAGCCCAGCTGAGCTGATTCTTGTTTTCCAGTGCTCTTAACTGTTGAGCTATCTCTCCAGCCCAGCTGAGCTGATTCTTGTTTTCCAGTGCTCTTAACTGTTGAGCTATCTCTCCAGCCCAGCTGAGCTGATTCTTGTTTTCCTGTGCTCCACTTAGAGTTTTGGAAGGTGTGAACAGGTGAGTGATCACACGTAAAGGTACAGGACAACACCCAACCTGCATCTTTGCAAGTTTGTCTGCACTCTGCAAGCCGAGGTGAGCATGTGTGTCCATGCATGAGTGTGTGCTGGTGGCACAGCATGGCAGTCTTAGTAGTACAGGGTGGAAAATTCAATGGGTCTCTTGTGACACAGATGCTGACCCCTCACAGTCCATGGACTTCCTGAGTAATCTGTGTACTGTCCTGGGGAGGAGCCCTAGTCCTTCATCGTTGAAACACTCATCTCTGTCATAGGACTGAGATAGTCTAACAGGTGATCACATTTAGGCTGTTCTCACACTCAACAGCATGGGAACCACCTGATCCTCAGTCTGCAGGTCTGAAATGATTTACATCAGTTTTAGACCCTGTCACACTATAAAATGGCATGATAAGCAAAGCTACCTGAATCAGTAGAAATCCCATGGAGCAGAGTACAGAAATGGACTTTAACTGGGATAAGGGTAAGAATGAAGCTATCTGGTAAGGGAAGGTCAGCCAGTTACACACCATTAACACCCAACAATTTCCTTCAGTTTGAGGGCAGAGTCAAGGGTACAAATGCTTACGACAAACATAGTCTGTGAGTTACTGCCTGCTCCAAAAAGGTGATGAGCTTGAAGAAGCACGAGAATCACAGTGAGTAAAACCTCAGTCAGCAAATAACAGAAAATGATACGCTGGGCAGACTAGACATTTCACATCTGTCAAAGCTGTTGAAGAGGAATGTCAAGCTTTAGAGTTATGTTTAAATTAAATATTGACAAGTCTTGTTTCACTCTAAATTTATGGCAGGCTCTCTGTGTAAGCGGTCAGGGGTGCTGGCATGGTAGCCAGAAGGTGGGGATAAGATTTATTTTAGGGACTGCCTCCTTTGTTTCTAATCCACACTTCTCATGGACATGAAGCAGCAAAATTTTGATCAAGAAATAGCCACATCCAGCTTCCTGCTCCTCTGAGCCTTGTATTACCAGAAAGACGTCTCAGAAGAATCTATGAGGACATCACCTGGGAGGGTTCATAGCCCCCTGTCCCTTTGTCTATTTTAAACAGAAAGTACTTGCAAAGGGTATATTTCCCACGTCCTCTGTTCCAGTAATTTAAATTACTTCTAAATTTGGTCTGTGCTAGTCAGCTTTCTGTCACTGTGACAAAGTACTTGGGAATCAGCTTACAGGAATATTTTTTTTGGCCGACATTTTCAGAAGTTTCAATCCACAGTTGGCTGGCTTGATTGCTATGGAGAACACACGGTTACAAGCATGTGGGAAATAAAGCTGCTCACTTCATGTTGGAGAGAAGCAGAAAGTGGAAAGGCTTGGAAACAAAGGTGCCCTTCAAGGGCATGCCTAGCAAACCACCTTCTTCCAACTAGGATGCCCCACCCAAAGTTTCCATCAGCTTCCGATAACTGATTAGACTCTGAGTTCATTGGACGAATCCGCTGATGACATCAGAGCCCTCATGATCCAATCACCTTCCCATGGCCTCACCTCTGATGCCTTGGGGACCAACCTTTCCATGCATGAGTTTAGGGGCACATTTAAAATCGTGATTCTAAACAAAACAACAGCACTGAGTTTGAAGAAACAGTCAAAAAGTGGAGCTAGAGCTGCATCTAGAGCAGCAGCTGGTGAACGGTCCCTCTCTCTCCTCCTCTACTGGTTTCTTGCAGAGCTCAGCCTGGCCCCAAAGACTCCACGGAGTCTGCAGAAATGCAGGTGTCTGGGCTTGGAAGTTATGCTTTCCCAAGTCACTGACAAATTGCTATCCCTGGACTCACACCTATAGCAAATTTTAGTTAATTTAAAAAAAACAACACGTTCCATGATAGATTAAATTGTTTCTGACAAGTGTCCATTTCTACTGGCCTTCGATGAAAAAATAATGATGATTTTGTTTTTGTTCATTCTGCTGGGTCATTTCAGTTTCGCATTCAGGCTGGGTTTAAAGACAGATAATCAGATAATTACTGGGGGTTAGCGGTGCACACGTGGGACAGAAGGACGCACAGCTAGGCTACTAGGCTTCCTGCTAGGGAAGTCCAACGGAGGGAGGCACTGTGGGGATTAGGTAAATCTGCTCCTATTGACACAGCCACGGTCCTCACTGCTGAACACAGCCCATGAGCCATGGAGGTAAGAAAGACACGGCTTTCATCCACTGACTGGTGGGCTAGGAGGAGACACAATGGGTCCAAGACACAGTCCTGCTCGTCTGAGTTCCCTGGCGCTGCTGTGAGAAATCACCACACAGGTGTGGTTGAACAGAGGCCATTCATGATTGCGTGTTCCCAAAGCCAGGAATGTGTCAGAACAGGAACAGTGACGTCGGCAAACATTGTGGAGCGCCCCCATGTGCCACCACTGCTCTGAGTGACTCATTCTTGGTGGACAAAGAAGCAGAGGTGTCCCGGTGGCAGGGAACTCCCATGAATTTGATAAATTAGAGCTTCATCTTGTGTATGTTGGTGCAAATGCCACGTGACAGGGTTGTGAAATCCTGGCTGAGGATGGAGGTGTGTTCCTGAGACTGGAAACATGAAGCTCTTGGCCATGTGTGTGGCCATTTCATTTGTGTCTTGACACCCAGAATGCTATTCACGTCGATGAGCTCTGCCTGTATCTTTGTGCTGCTATCCTGACCCCAGACAGTGAAACACCATGAGCTGCCTAGAAGCATGGTGGGTGGGGGAGTCCAGGGAGGAGTGCCCAGGGCAGGACCCACCTCTAGGATGAAAGGACAGTAACATGGTGACCATTCCCTGAGACTGCATGTGTGCGTAGGTCCTACAGAGCAGTTAGCATCTGCTCATTGCCAGCTTTGTGGGGGTAGGTGCTTAGTGCCTCCGTTTCCCCATTTGTGAGGTGGTGGTGGTAAGGTTGCCTCTCTTGAAGGACTGTAGGGAGGGGTAAGTGAGTCACTCAGAGCAGTGCTGGCACATGGGGGCTCTCTACACTGTTTGCTGACGTCACTGCTGCTGTTCTGGCACATTCCTGTGCAGCACACTGAAAGGAGAGAGGGAATGTGCAAGGGTGCATGTGAGGTGCATCCTTCTGCCTTCTTTCTGGAAAGATGGTTTTCAGTGATGGGGCCTCTGCCATGGGGAGGAAACTTCAGGGCAAATTAGAAAGAGGTCTTTTCTCTAGAAGAACTAGGGCCTGTTCTGAGGAGATGCAGCCCAGGCAGTCAGCTGGTAGGGCAGCAGTGGCTTCAGGCCTCAGCCCCTCTGGGGTCTGAGCTGATCTGGCAGGAGGGGGGAGAGGAAGAAGGAGACATGTGAGAGAGAGGTCCAGAAAGGAGGGCCTGAGAAACAGCCAGAAGCCCACAGGGACAGTAGAAACAAGAAGGGTGGACTGGCCACATCAGGCCCAGGAGAACCCTTCCTTAGAGATGACGGCAGTGGAGGAGGAGGAGGTGGGGAGGAGAGAAGCCCTGAAGAGCCTCTTCCTGGGCTACTGCCCCAGGAGTGCAGGAGCCATGGAGAAATTCCCATCTCTCTCCCATAGCCTTTGGTTAGTTATAAACTAACTGGCCCTGATTTATTCTGGGATCTCAAATTTCTTTCCATTCACACCCATCTCTGGGGATCTCTGCCCAGGTTTTACCGAGAGTATTACATTTCCTTACACTTGGTGGGATAAACATTTACGGTGATACACAGAGGTCTCATAAGGCTCAGTAACATGTGGAGACCTCAGGATACCACACCCACCCTTGAGGGGTCACCCGCATGCTGCAGAGAAGGGCCGTGAGGTCTCTGTGGGATTTAGGGAATGTGCCCACCCAGGAACCTGTCCCCTGTGTGAGTCAGCCATCAGCCCCTGGGGTGGGAAGCAGGTACGGTTACTCTGTGGACATTCAGGGCCTCCTACCTGAGACCAGGGTGAGGCGAACCAGCTGCCTCTTGGGAGGCCTGCGGCAGTGTACTGGGGGTGCTGGGGACAGGGAAACAGAACACAGGTACGTTCCAGTTCCAGGTCCGGCTTTGGCAGATGCAAGCACTTCTTGGAGGCCAGTTCTTGGTACTTCCCAGATGCATACTTTTCAGCACATTTCAGGAACCTCTCCTGGATTCCCCTTCCACAGCTCACAGTGCACTGTGCGTAAGTGAACACAGGTCTTTTAGGTGAAATCAGTCGTCAAAATGCCTCCTCATGATACCCGCTGGTCATATTCCTTCTGAAAAGGCGTTGCCTTAGGTACGGGGAGGAGTGTGGGCAGGAACAGTTAGGGGCTTTCTTCCTTGATCACTGTGGGAGGACAGAGGCATGACCCTGGGACACAGAGATCTCTCTGTGGTCTGTGCAGACAGTATACCCCTGGCTAGGCACTGATGTCATCTGAGATATAAGATTTCTGAGGCCTGGGGCTGGGGAGACATGGAAAGGGACATTCAGTGGTCAAGGGCCTGTTACTGCTCTTGTAGAGGACCCACGTTCAGTTCCCAGCACCCACATCAGCTCTCTCATAGCTACCTCTAACTCCACCTCCAGGGGTCCAACACCCCCTTCTGGACTCTGTGGGTACTGTTACACCACACAGAGACATACATAATTCAAAATAAAATAAACCGGGGGCTGGAGAGATGGCTCGGCAGTAAGAACACTGGCTGCTCCTGCAGAGGACCCGGGTTTGATTCCCAGCCCCCAAATGGAGACTAACAACTGCCTGAAACTCCGATGCCCTCTTCTGACCTCCAGGGGCCTTGCATGACAAGGGTGCACCTGCCTACATGCAAGCAATATATTCATAGACACAAAATAAAAAATAATAAAATATTAATAAAATAAAATAAATCTTTAAAAAAAGATTTCTGAGCACCCCCCGCCCCAGGCCCCTGGGCCTACTCTGGCCTAAGCTAGGCAGGAAGTAGTTAGGCACCCGAGTGAGGCCTGGGCCAACCCAACTTGTGGGAATGAGGACAGAGGTGCGTTTCTCCCTGCGATGCCATCAGCAGCACCACCTCTGGTCCCAGCCGGGAACTCTAAGAGGTCCTGTGACACCTGTGATGGCTGCCGATGGAGAAATCGGGCCTGTGTCTTTGAATGAATGCGACATCTTCCTGCTCACTGGCAATGGCTACCGGTGCTGTGGGCTCAGGGATGTCGTCATGAGGACGTGGCTATTCCTGCTCTCCCTGGACGCTGACCAAGGTCGGTGCTGATGCCAGTGGGGCAGGTGCTATTCAGCGGGGTGCCTGGCTCAGATCTAGGGACAGACCTCGGACGGTGAAGGAAGACACAGTGAAGGGAGCAGAGGTGGAGGTGGCTGGAGAGGCTGACCCCATCTGGGGGAACTGGCGGCCATACCTGGGACCAGGCAGACACCAGCCACTGCAGTTTCTTGTGCTTGGGGCAGCGCTTGAGCAAGCAGGCTTCGTGAGTCCTGGGCTTGGGCTCTGAGGTGCAGGCAGTGTCGGGCAGGAGCTCGGCTCTGGCTGAGGGGTTGGTGCTCTTGCAGGCCACCGCCCTCTTCCTCCAGCCCTTGCCGCAGGTCCGTGAGCACTGCACAAGAGAGCAAGCCAGATCTCAGCAAAGACCACAAATACTTCAGGCTGTGCTGGGGAACCAGGCCTAAGACTTGGCATATCACAGGGTGTGACCCAACTACCACCCCCTCCATCTCAGCCCCACCCACTTACCCCAGCCCAAGGCCCCGTGCTCCACGCAGGTGGGCAGCTCTGAGAGTTGCAGGCTTGGTGGCTGGAGGGCACGGGCTGCGGACACAGGCTGGCCAAGATGGGATCCTCACGGTAGTGTGTCCTCCGCGTGCACTGCACAGGTCTGCTCTGAGTTCCCCCACCACACGTTCGACTGCACAGGCTCCAGTTTCCCACAGACCAGCTAGTAGGACACAAAGAGACCCACAGTGAGGGAGGACAGTGTCTTGGCTCCAGGGGGTGAAGTGCATGTCCGATGTGGCAGAGGCCCCATAAGGCTGCCCAGATACAGCCTACACAAAAGCAGTCATTTCCACCTGCAGTTTAATGGAGAAGCCAGTTCTGCCCAGGACCCTGTCATGTGAGGTGCTGGCTTCTGTCATCCTCCATGAGAGACCTACCATTCTGTCCGCAGCCCTGACTTCTGGTTCCTCTGTACTTGGAAATAACCCACTTTAGAGCAGTATCTCTCATTTCTGTTTAAGTTCTGTTTACTAGAAAACTTCAATCATATCCAAAATAAAAGACCTACCCACTTACCCAGCCTCAATAGTTATCAACATATATGTGACTTATGTAACATTTGTATGCAAATTTCAGGTATAGATATTTCTTTTTTAAAACAAGATTTCTATTTATTTTTTTAACAGAGCATAGGGTAGGGGTTTATTTACTGAGGAGTGGGCGCCTCACATTTACGGCTGCAAGGTGAAGTCCACACTCAAATACTGATCCTGTGACCTCCCAACAGCCCCACGAAATGATGAGAGCAGTGTCTCTTGGTGTTCTCGGCTTATATATCCTTTGCCCCTTCCCCACACGCAGCTAAAGTCAACTGATTGGGTGGGAGGGGTAACTGACTTCCCCCTGGACTCCTTGATGAGCTTGGATAGGAGTTGTGACTATAGCTTGCTGGCATAGTGGTTGAAGGACATTTCCAGTTAACACTCCACCCCTTCCTCTGGCTCTTACATTCTTTCTGCCAACCTTCCACAAAAGTCCCTGAGCATCGGAGGGGGTGATAAGTGTGGGATGATGTTCCTCCTATTGTCGTAAGGCACTGAATTTCCAGGTCTCCAGATGCAGATATTTCAATGTGCACCTTGGAAGTATCCAAATTGTTTTCTTTTTTTCTCTTTTCTTTCCCCTTCTCTCTCTCTCCCTCCCTCTCTCTCTCTCTCCCTCTCTTTCTTTCTTTCTTGAGTCCTTCCTTTATTTTTTCACAACAAATGTAACTACAATACCAAAATGATATCCAACACCCATATACATATGAACATCATAATTGGACTCAATGGGTCATTGGAATTCTAAAAAGACATGAAGTTGGGAGAGGGATGTGGGGTGGACCTAGGAGGAGTTGGAGGGGGACAGAGGGTTGGTTATGATCAAAGTATAATGTATGCATGCATGAAATTCTAAAAAATAAATTAAAATAAATTTAAAAAACAACACCAAAGGTATTTTTTTATCTTTTTGAGATTGGGTCTTCTTGTAGCCCCAGCTCTCCTGGAACTCCCTATGTAGACCAGGCTGGCTTTGATCTCACAGAGACCTATTTGCCTGCCTCTGCTTCCTAAGTGTTGAGTTTAAAGGTGTGCATCACCACACCTGGCTCAAGACTAAGAGCACCCAGATCCTGCCTCCATGTGGTGAAGGAAGCCTGAGTGTACCTGACTGGAACCTGAATTGGGCTTCTGTGGGTACTCCTGAATAGCTGATCTGAAGCCATCAGTTCCCTCCAAATTAAACCTGAGAGAACCTGAACCCTGTACCAACCAGCTTTACATAACCAATAAAGAAAGGATCTAGGCACCCAGATAATACAAACAGAAGCATACTTCAACTTAATTCTCATATCAGAATCATAAACAACAAAAAAACTTCACATGCCAAAATCACAACGAAAGAATAATAAAATGGAAAGCCAAAACACTATGTCCCCACCAAACTCCACCAATTCTGTAGAAGAGTTCTACAAGGAGAAAGCCCTAGAGATAACCCAGGACACAGAATTTAAAAGAAGAGTCATAAACATGATCAAGGAAGTCAACGAATTGAAAGAACACACGAACAAACAAATCAAAGAACTAAAAGAAGACAGGGATGAACTTCTGAATGATTCAGAAAAGAGATAGAAACAGTGAAGAAAACTCAAGCAGAAATGAAGAACGAAGTGCAAAACTCAATAAGCCAACTTGAAACAACAGGGGAAAGCTTCACCACTAGAATGAATGAAATGGAAAACAGAATATCAACACTGGAGGATAAAGTTGAAGAATTGGACCACTCAAACAAAGATTGTGGAAAATTTAAAAACACAGGAATGGAATATGCAAGAGATGTGGGACACCATGAAAAGACCAAATCTATGGATCAGAGGGATAGAGGAAGGAGAAGAATTTCAGGTTAATGGTGTTGACCAGGATTGTAGAAGAGAATTTCCTGAAATTAAGGAAAGACATCCCCATACAAATACAGGAAACACACAGAACACCAAATAGACAGGATCAGAAAAGAAACTCCCCATGACACATCATAGTAGAAACACTAAAAATAAAGAATAAAGAGAGAATACTGAAAGCAGCAAAAGAAAAACAAGTCACATACAAAGGAAAGCCCATCAGAATTTCAGCTGACTTATCAACGCTAACTATAAAAGCCAGAAGAGCCTGGACCAAGGTATTTCCATTTATACATGACAATAGATGTCAGCCCAGAATACTTTACCCAACAAAAATGTCTGTTATAGTTGAGGGAGAAAGAAGAATCTTCCATGACATGAAAAGCCTAAAAGAATTCATGTCCACAAAACTAGCCCTTCAAAGAATACAGGAAGCAATATAGAGAGCAGAGAGAGAAACAACTATACCCTAGGGGCAACAAAAGAAAATAAACAAAGATATAATCTAGGAAACACAAAATTACACAGATAACACAAATAGCAATTAAAATAACGGCAACCAATACACATCTTTCAATAATAACCTTAAATATCAATGGACTGAACTCCCCAGTCGGAAGACACAGGCTAACTGAATGGATTAAGAAACAAAATCCATCTCTTTGCTGTCTGCAAGAAACCCATCTCACCTTCAAGGACAGGCACTACCTTAAGGTAAAAGGATGGAAAAGAATAGTCCAAGCAAATGGCACTAAGAAACAAGCAGGGGTTGCAATTCTAATGTCTGACAAAACAGACTTCAAAGTAAAACTAATCAGAAGAGATAAGGAGGGTCACTTCATTCTGATCAAAGGAACAGTTAACCAAGAAGATACTATAATACTTAAAATATATGCACCAAACTCTAATAAAATTCATAAAAACAACACTACAGGACTTTAAGACACAGATTAATCCCAACTCAGTAATAGTAGGGGATTTCAATACCCCACTGTCTCTACCAGACAGGTCAATTGGACAAAGAATAAACAGAGATACGTCTGAATTAAATAATACCATACATCAAATGGACCTAACAGACATCTTTTGAATATTTCACCCAAGTACCAAAGAATACACTTTCTACTCAGCACCCCATGGAACTTTTCAAAAATTGACCACGTGCTGGGCCACAAAACTCAACAAATACAAAAAAAAATTGAAATAATCCCATGCATTCTATCAGACTACAATGCAATAAAGCTCAAAATCAACACTGGACAAAGCCCTAGTCACTACATGAACTCGTGGTGATTGAACAACACACTGCTAAACAACGAACAGGTCAAAGGAGAAATTAAGAAAGAAATAAAAGTATTCCTGGAATTCAACGATAAGGAAAATACAACACAACACAACCTCTGGGACATTTTAAAAGCAGTCCTAAGAGGGAAGTTTATATCTCTAAGTGCCTATATTAAAAAATTAGAAAGAGCTCAAATAAATGACCTAACACTGCAACTCAAGACACTGGAAAGGCAAGAACAAATGAAACCCAAACCCAGCAGAAGAGAACAAATAACAAAATCAGAGCAGAAATTAATGAAATAGAAACAAAGAAAACAATACAAAGAATCAATGAATCTAAGAGCTGGTTCTTTGAAAAGCTAAACAAGATAGACAGACCCTTAGTCCAGTTAACCAAAAGAAAGAAAGAGCAAATCCAAATCAACAAAATCAAAGATGAAAGGGGAAACATCACAACAGACACCCGAAAGATCCAGACCATTATAAGGGAATATTTAAAAAAACCTATATGCTACTAAATTTGAAAACCTAAAAGAAATGGATGAATGTCTAAAATCATGGGAACCACCAAGGTTAAACCAAGAAGAGATCAACAGTTTAAACAAACCCATAACATACGAGGAAATTGAAACAGTAATGCAAAACATCCCAACTAAAAAAAGCCCAGGCCCAGATGGATTTACAGAAGAATTCTACCAGATATTTAAAGAAAACTTCCAACCAATACTACTTAAATTATTCAAAAAGATGGAAACAGAGTGAGAACTCCCAAATTCCTTCTATGAAGTCCACATCACTGTAATACCCAAACCGGGAAAAGACACAACCAAAAAAGAAAACTATAGACCCATATCCTTAATGAACATAGATGCGAAAGTTCTCAAGAAACTACTTGCAAACTGCATACAGACACACATCAAAAAGATCATCCACCATGATCAAGTTGGCTTTATCCCAGAGATGCAGGGATGGTTCAGTATACGTAAGTTGATGAACGTCATTAATCATATAAATGGGCTCAAAGACAAGAACCACATGGTCATCTCAACAGATGCAGAGAAGGCCTTTGACAAAATTCAACATGGATTTATGTTCAAAGTCCTAGAGGGAACTGGACTGGAGGGAACATACCTCAACATAATTAAAGCCGTATATAACCAACTCACAGCCAACATCATTCTAATGGAGAAAAACTGGAAGCATTCCCATTGAAATGTGGAACCAGACAAGGATGCCCACTATCTCCACTCCTTTTCAGCATAGTGCTTGAAACTCTGGCTAGAGCAATAAGACAGGAGGAAATTAAAGGAAAAGAAGAGGTCAAACTATCACTTTTTGCAGATGACATGATACTATACCTAAGAGATCCCAAAAGTTCTACCAGAAAACTCCCAGAATGGATCAACATTTTCAGTATAGTGGCAGGTTATAAAATCAGTCTACAAAAACAAGTAGCCTTTCTATATACCAATAACAAGCACTTGGAGAAAGAA